CGCAAGTAGTTTAGTTTTTTATTGTTGTAAACATGTAGTTGTATATCAGATTTAACATACACCACAGCAGAAGACGTGCGACTTGTCCTTGGTGGTGATAAATGCACCTGCTCTCACACTATGACTTGTTTCCTCTCATTATATTACGTTACGTTACAATTATTAACACCCAAACTGCAGAGTCCGTGTTTATGGTTGCGCTGTGTTTTAGCGAGAGCGATTCATAATTGTTGCATTCATGATCTATCTTATTTTAAGATGCCCTGATATCTGAAAATAACATTATGTGATTACGTGGTATTTTATATATATTATATTTCTAAAAGCACCTCGCAGCATTTCCCCCGTAACACTGTGTTCACGAGCAGAACAAAGCCGCGACAGATCAGCTGACTGGTTTTAAAGAGAGGGGCAGTTTGACCGCAGCTGCTGCACCTGTCCATCTGTCCACCTGTCCACCTGTACACCTGTCCATCTGTCCACCTGTACACCTGTACACGTGCAGCGTGGCTCTGACCTGCCCGGGACTTCATACATGTCAACCCTTCAGACAGTTACTTGTATAATGAGCATCAAATATCTGTCATTTGCGCAAAAAATCTCACGCGGGTGGAGCGGAGGTGCGAGTGGACCACAGCCGTGCGGAGTCGGGGTGGTGGTGTGGTGGGGGGGTGTCTCTTAAAGATGTGTCTACATTTGACTTATTTATTTCTAAAATCACAGTTCTCTTAGTCAGCTTCAGGTGCTTGTAGTTAATCATAATTTCTTCTAAATTTAACCAGGTGTTTAAATTACACAATTTTACTGGAGAAACTTGTCAGTCTGGTTGAAAAAAACAGTAAAATTATTATTTTTTCTGTGCAGAGAACTTCCTCTGCTATAATTTTTTCAAATAAATATATCAAAGCCCCTCAGTTGAAAACACTAAAATGACAGACCTCTGTTATTAACATAAAGCTGCTCTTTTTCCATTTACAATCCTTTGCCAAGTCCTTTTTGTTCAGATGGACGAGCTCAGATTGTACAGATTTAAAGACAAGAATAAACGCTGAGAGAAGCAGCATAAAGACAGCTGATTCTAGATTCTGAATCATTTTACGTTTGTTCAAAAATTGTATTGCTTTCAGCCTGTAAGAACAAGATCTAATCAAATTTTGAAGAAAAMGTGTTTTTGTTCTACAACTGCTGACACCCGTTCCATTTCCCTGAAGAACGTCCTACCAAACCAGCAACAATTTAAATACAGGGAACAAGAAACAAGACTATTTCCAACAATGCCAATGAAAAACTGTCAAACTGATGATTGCTGGATTCCGGTCCTTACCTGCCGTCCTTCTGTGACGTTGACCAACAGGAGTGGACGAAGGACTCGAGACCAGCGGACAATAGAACAGTTTGCAGCTTTCAGTGCTCCGTAGATGATCATGTCAACAAGAGTTAGCTGTACGGCAGACAGAAACAAAGGCATTTGGTGAAAAATCTCCAACTGTCACAGGATAATGCAGGNGTGTTTTTGAGTGTAATTATTGTTATTAATATTTGTATGTTTATTCTTGTCATATATCTAAAATAAATTACTTTATTTTGAGAAATCTGACAAGTTCTTTTCACATTCATGACCAGAGGGAAGGTTTCATTAATTCTGATTTCATTTCTGCAAGATCTTGGGGAACATGCTTTTATGAGATTAAGCTGGTATTAATCTCATAAAGCAGGGTTCTTTACACAAATTTTCAACCACGTCGCGTTTAACCTCAGCGTTTTACAGGTTATTGTTTAAATCACTGTACATTAAGGCAACATTAACTCGAAATAATGAGTTAACAATCTAGTAAACATAAAGTTCTTTATTTGAACCAGAGTTGTAGACATTTAGCTTACTGGAAAAGTATTTAAAGTGATTCTATAAAATTCTAAGTGCAAATGTTTAAGAGCTGAACGTCTTATAAACATATTATTAAACATTTCATGGTTAAATTTTTTTAGACACAAGCCCCTCAGATGGACAACTCCTGTAGTTTGACCCTATGATCTTTGGCCTTGGATAAACCAGAAAGATGAACGGAGAATAATGATTAATAACAGAAATATTATTGAAATTTATTAAAAGGTTGTGCAGATTTTTTTAAAATAATAACACAAAAGTCTGCAATTTCATTAGCATTAGTTGAATCATATCTTATATTATTTCACTTAAATATCTAATATGTGTAGTTTTATCCTCCTGAGACCCAGAAGAACCAATTTCAGATACTTGGAATGTAACTGTGGTGAAGTCGATTAAGTGTAAAAGCGGCCTGCCATACAGGTGTGCTTCCTCGTCCTGCTGAAATGATCCGCAGCGCTCACCCCGGGTTTACATTAGTTGCGTTCCGTCTCCCTGCGCAGGTCACAGCTGCACCGTTTCAAGTCCAGTTTACACCTCCGCACCGCTCCGGTCCGCTCCGGTCCGCTCCGGTCCGGTCCGGTCCAACAGACGTGCAGAAGCAGATCGCACGATAAATTCAGTGATAAATGTGGAAGTCACAGCAAAAAATAATTCTGTCAAAGATGAATTCCAAACACAGCTGAAAACAACAACATAAAGACTTGTTGTCTATGGTTGAAACTGTCTCACTGTCAGCTTTCTGAAACTTCTGATTTCAAAATAAAATCCACGTGTATCATGTGTGTACACATATGCTTCACGCTACATGTTTCCATCTGCTTCCCAAACAGAACCATACATTCTGACAGTATTTGTGTAGAAATATATCCGTATATTTATTAATATACGGATGTCGACATTATTCCGACAAATTACTCCGCCGAATTGTGTCTTATTTTGAAAATACAGATGTGCTCGTTTCTCTTCCTGTTGGTGCGACGTAATCTTTAAAAATTGACTCCGGTGCAGCTCCGTCGTCCGGCAGAAATAGGATCTGTTCTAATTTTGACGGATCGCCGTCCGCTCACCGCTGCCCTGTGCAGCCAGTGTAAACACTGTCACTGGTTATAATGGGTGTGTGTTTGCTGTGGAGGTCGGAGCAGAGCGGGGACGGAACGCATGTAGTGTAAATTAGGGGTGTTAAATTAACAAGATGGACTTAAGAGCGAGCAACCGTCCACATCTTGTTTTCATCTCCAGCTAACAAGAACGAACTGTCTTTAGACTCCGATCTGGGTTAACAAAAAACAAACAAACACGGTTGTTTCGCTCTGTGTGTGTGTGTGTGTGTGTGTGTGTGTGTGTGTGTGTGTGTGTGTGTGTGTGTGTGTGTGTGTGTGTGTGTGTGTGTGTGTGTGTGTGT